ACTTCTTCGCCAGGGGGAACACTGTGGTGTAGCGAGAGTAGTCGTCAACAACCACCATAAAGAAACTCTCTCGCTCAGGGCCAGGGCGAGGGGCGGGGCCCACACGTCCAACTGGAGAGTCTCGAAGGGCTCGGTGGCCGGACGACGAAAGGAGGAGTGAGGGGTGGCGCGCAACCGACCCTCGATGCAGGGACCGCAAGGTGGTGCAAGCGAAGGCGGCAGTGACGGAAAGACTCGCGGGAGGCCTAAGACAAGACGCTGACTAGACATAGCGCGCAGGCGAGGAATGGACGGGTGCCCCATCCGGTGGTGCCACAGAATGGTGGGGTGGGCAAGTGACCGGTAGAAGCACGACGCAGCAACTGGACAAGACACCGGAACCTGACCAGACACAGCTACCTGGGGAGACGCGGGAACTTGACTAGGGCAGTGACAGGGGTCGGGGGCAGTAGCTGCTGCTGCTGCCGCTGCTGCTGCCCTCAGGGGCCAGTGTGAAGGTGGCGAGAGGTGCGTACGTGTCCTCGTCGACACAAACCGCAGTCTCGCCAGAAGGCTCAATCCACACACCCACGTGCTGACTCACGAGCGGCCTCACGCCCACCAAGTTCCTCGAGAACGAGGGGGCGTGGAAGCCGGTCAGAGAACCAGAGGGAACATCCGGGCATGGAAGCGTTGTAGTGTAGCGAGCAGTGATTGGTCCCGAAGTGGGATCAGCCAGTGCTACAGAGACCGGCGAAGGAAGCGGGGTAAGTGTCGTGCGGTCGCGGAAGAAACAGTACGAAGCTCCGGAGTCCATAGTGAAAGACAGCTAAGCGTCCTCCGGAGCAGCTCCTGGACTAGTGTCTATACAAGTACCTACACTAGCAAGAGGTACCTCAGCAAGACTAGCACCTAAGGCAACAACACTCGAGTAAACAGACTCAGAAGCACTAGAGTAACAACAACATACATAGCATGAGGAGTTCCTAAGAGATCAACCAATTGAGAAGCCGACATGCCCCACAGAGCGGGGCCGTACGTCTGAACAAGGGGAAGCCAGTCAGGGGCAGGGCCGTCAACGCCGTAGCCCAGCCGAACCGTGTCAGTAAGCAAAGCAAAGCACTGACCCGGTGGGTGGCTGCGGCCACAAGGCTGGCCACGGCGGGCACCTGTCAGAGTGTGATAGGTGCAGGGAGGGTGGACGACATCGCGCTGCAGCTGATGCCATCCTGACCCCTGCCCCGAAACCTGCTGCTGCCGCTGCTGCTGTGGCTGCTGCAAGGGGAGGGGCTGCTGCTGGCGCTGAGTCAGGTACCATGCCGCTACTCCACTCCCTGCGGCTGGCAGACCAGTAGGTGGCTGACGAACCCGGGCGTCATCTCCACCAGCTGCAGCAGCGGAGTCACCGCCGCTGCACGAGGCGCTCCTCCAGCCCCTACACTCCCGCCTCCGCCCCTCGCCACGTCACCCCCACCACCTCCGCCCGCACTCTGACCGCCCCTCCTGCCACTCCTACCCCGAGACCGTGAAGAAGGCGTAACAGCAGCTGCGGTCACGTCAGTAGCGGCAGTGGCGAGGGAGGCAGTAAAGGTGGGCAGCTATGGGACAGTGCACCAGTGGAATAGTGGAGGGGGCACATCACCAAAGTCAGAGGCTACAGAGCGGAGGTTGCTCTCGACGTCCTTGAGGGCCGACTCAAGGACCTCGATAGTGAGCTCGCTAGGGTGCTTCAGAAGAAGCGCGTCACAATCCGAGGCAAGGCGGTCAGAGAGGTTAGTGGCAATGAAATAGATAGTAATCGCCATGGGGGGAGGGAGAAATGCAAGATGTGCGTCAGTGCAAGCAGCGCGGTAGCTAGAATCAAGTGAACGCAGGTGAGCGATCAAGTCAGCAGAGCGCTCAAACGAGGCGAGGTCAGGAAACAAGAACGGAAGGAACAGGCGACCAAGAAAGACAGTGGTGGGAGTAGCGTAGCGAGCCTTGATCGCAGTCATGAACTCACTAGCCGTGCGAACCTGAGAGAAGTGGATCTCCTCAGACTCAGGGAGGAGGCTGCTGAGGGCGATGTAGGCCGCAACGTCACGCGACTTCCACGCGATCACGTCAGCACGCTCGTGTGCATAACGGTCACTGTCTGCAGGTGTGGGGTCAGCTGCTAAGGGTACAGGATCAGCGGGCTCAGGAAGGTCACCGGAAGCGTGCGGCCACAGAGTCTCGTGCGCCTGAACCTGGCTCTCTAAAAGGCGGCGCACACGCAGGAGCCAGACCGAGAACTCGAGTGACCTATCCTCTGCGTCAAAGCGCAGGACCCTAGGGGTCGCCATAGCGGCAGCGTGGAGGTGGATACTGCTGCTGCCGAAACCCTAAACGCCTAGAGGGTCCGAGCAGGGCACGACAGACGGAGCGGAAGGCGCGACAAGACGGGACAGCAGGGCGCGACACGACGGGACGGGTAGGACGCGACTCGACGGGACAGCAGGGCGCGACGCGACGGGCTGGGGGCGACTCGACGGGAGAGACGCGACGGGCAGGGGACGAAACGCGACACGCAAGGGACGGGACGGGCAGCGCGACGCGACTGCCAGGGGACGCGACGGGCAGAGGACTGGACGAGCAGCGCGACGCGATGGCCAGCGGACGCGACGGGCAGGGGACGGGACAGGCAGCGCAACGCAACGACCGGCGGACGCGACGGGCAGGGGACGGGATGGGCAGCGCGACGCGACGGCCAGCGGACGCGACGGGCAGGGGACGGGACAGGCAGCGCAACGCGACGACCGGCGGACGCGACGGGCAGGGGACGGGATGGGCAGCGCGACATGATTCGGCACGTGACTGTAGCGAGTCTTGGTTGCAGCCTGCCTGGTGGGCATCTTTGCTGCTTCACCAGGCTTCGCTTCCTGCATGGCAGAGATGACCGTGAGCAAGAGGGCGGTTGTTGCCATGACTCCTTCCCGTTTGACCGTAGCGTGTCTTGGTTCCAGCCAGGTTGACCGGACCTCTTGCTTCCTCTACAGACTCTTTATCCTGCATGGCAAAGGTGGTGGGAGTGAGAAGGTGGTGGGAGTGTGACTGCAAAATAAGTGAGGTGACTAGACAGCATACAAAAGAATGGGACTCGTGCTGGCATTCCAACACGGTGGGTCCAAAGCGACCCTCTGTTTTCCCCCAGCCCTCCCCCCACAACCCCTCTCGCACGTAGTTTCTGAGCCTTTTCGAATCCACACGGCATGATGCAGAGTGCCTTCGATTTCGCCCACCTCCGTGGCTGACAGAGGGGAGCACGGCTGGGCTTTGCCTGGCGGGATGGAAGGAGGTGCACGCAGGTCGCAAGGTGCAAAGTTCTTGTCTGTTCCCTTCCTCCTTTCCCTCTCTCCCCCTTGCACCTGACCCATTGTGCCTTGCATCACCTGTACTGCTCCGCAAAACCATACCTATCTGATTCAGCTGCCTTCATCTGAACTATCCTCGCCCAGGGTGGACGCGGACACACGGCCTGCCCCTCGCTGGCCCCATCCATTTGCCCCACTATACCCATCCATTATCCTCCACAAGCACACCAGCAACACCGCACGGCACCGCATCAATGTGCATTGAGACACCTCTGTTTATGACAATTGTGCGCACCAGCCAATAGCTGGCCCCACTAAGAGCGCTCTGTTCCTTCATGATGTGCTTGTCGAATTGCCCCATTGCTCTCCAGTCAGCCTCCGCAATCACGCGCCTTCTCCCCCCCGTCCCTCGTGCCCATCTCTTCCCTCCATTATCTACTGCCTCTCCCCCGGGCGCTTGCTACCGTCACGGCCTCTGCCAGAACGCCCCCTCAGCAGGTTGTGTGCCTTTGAGACTCCTCAATCACACCCAGTGAGTGTGTTGGAGATGGGCGAGAGGCAGGAGGTGAGCACAAGGAGGGAGACAGGCCAATGCAAAGACACTCCGTCTGCCCCTCATGCTACAGCTGTCTCCCCCGCTCTGCCTCCTCCTCCTGCCAAGATTGCCAAAACGCTCCTCACGAGGATGTAAACCCCGTCAGTGTGTGGGCGAGGAGGGCAATGGCCGGGAAAATGGATGCTTAGGAGGGGCCCACCGCAGCCCGTGCGCCCTGTCGCCGTCTACAATAATCACAACACTCATGCGGTAGCGTGCGAGATTCAAGGCTTGGCAGGGCTGCAAGGAAGGACAAGAGATGAGGTGTGGGTGAGGGTGATGCAGGGCAAGGGAAAGGGGTGAGGAGAGGGCAAGAATAGCCTCACCCACTGTTGTCCTGAATTGTCGCCTCCCCACGGCACACATGCGGCAGCGCGGCAATAGAGCCGTGCGTTCATGATTCAAGCAAATCCAAGGTGACTGGAGGCAGATTCGCCACCTCACAACCTTTAGTCACCTTGGCCAGGCGATGTCGGATCAGAAAATAACCACGAGCACGGAAAACTATGTGCATGCACTCCCACTGTTACCCACCTCACTATGTGCTACCTGATAGCACAACAGCCCACCCACCGCATTCAACACCTGCACTGCACTCACCTTGGCCAAGCGAAGTCGCGAGAAATCCACGAGTACTCTCACACAAGCAATTCCCCGTCCTCCTCGTGTGCTACCTGATAGCACCACACCCCACCTCAGCCTCCAGCCACCTCAGCATCTAGCCACCTCAGCATCTAGCCACAGCATCTAGCCACCTCAGCTTGCAGAGTCACGTTGGGCTGTATTCACCTTGGCGTGGCAGTGCTGGGATAGAGAGCAAAGAGCATGGGAATGCCGCATGCAATATTTTTCACGCCCCCCTCCACCTCCTCCCCCCCATGTGTTGGTTACCCACCACCCTGTGTGTGCTACCTGATAGTAGCACCGAACCTCACCACATTCAACACCTGTAGTCACCTTGCACTCCCCGTACACCTATTAGCACCGTCACCCCACCTCAGCACAGTGAACACCCCACTCGCCTTGGCCAGGCCAGTTCAGATCAGAACGGTGCCACAGCCGTGGGAATCCAGCATGGATTACCCAAGCCACTCATGCTCTCCCGGGGTCGAAACAACAGCCCATCTTCAGCCACCGTTCTCCCACCCACCCCCTTTTTTGCCCGGTCAGATGATGTGCTCACCTTGGCCATGCGGCGTCTGGAGAGAGCCACAACCACGGGAATGCTGTTAGCATCACTCCACACACACGCACCTTCAGGCTTGCCAGCACACGGCGCCTCATTGCTCCCTGCTCTCGTGCGTTTGTGGAGACGTTTGAGTGGAATAGGGGTGGGGGAGGAGGCAAAGGGGTTTTCCTTTAGCCACGCACCGCCTGCCCCAGCTTTGAGAATATCTTAAAAGTGACTCGCAGCACTTTCAGTCCAGCCCTGCTAACACACGCCGACGCAGGGTGTGAAGGGTTGGGGAAAAAGAGGCCATAGGAGGATGGGAAACCCGGAGGTGAGTAAAGTAGGAGAGGAAAGAACGGAGAGGTGGGGGTGCTCCGGCAGCAGTGGAGCCAGCGGCACATTGAGAGCAGGCGTGACTACCTGCGCCTTTACTGCTGCTGGTGGGCGTACCTGTGGGGAGGGCAAGGCGAGGGGGGAGGTGCGTGGGAGGAAAGAGACGTGGGTGTGAGGGAGGAAATGGGTGTGAGGGAGGAGATGGGTGTGAGGGAGGAGATGGGTGTGAGGGAGGAGATGGGTGTGAGGGAGGAGATGGGTGTGAGGGAGGAGATGGGTGTGAGGGAGGAAATGGGTGTGAGGGAGGAGATGGGTGTGAGGGAGGAGATGGGTGTGAGGGAGGAAATGGGTGCAGCGATGGGTGTGTGCAGCAAGGCTGAGAACCTTGGAAAGGCCTTCCGGAATAGCTCAATGGTGTTTTATGGTGTTCCATCCACTCCCTCGTCCACCTGCCTCTCCTCCACTCTCTCCTCCACTCTCTGTGCCCCCTCTTCCCGGCACTCCGCTTCCACCTCTCCTCTGTCCCCACCCTCCCCTCTTCCGCCCCCACCGCTCAGCCAACACACTGCCCTGCACGCCTCTCATGCTCCACCCATCCCGTGACTCCTCCATTCCTCACACCATCGCCTTTCACCCATCCCATGTTTCACACCATTCTCCCCCATCCCTCCTTTCTCCCCTTCCCTGTCTCCCCAGCACCACCCTGCGTTTCAATCGTCTCACTCGCTTCTGCTTCGGTGTCGACCTCTCCTTCACGCCGCACATCCATGCTCTCCCCCGTTGCTGCCTTCACCTGCACCTGCCTCCCCCCCCCCGCCCCCGGCCCTCCCCCTGGTCCTGCCGCCGCCCCCCTTCCTTCCCCCGCTCGCGCCTCACACCAATGCTCTCTGACGTGCACACGCACTCGCCCCTCCCCGCGCCCTCCCCTCTGTCCCCTTCCGCGCTCCCCCTTGTTCCGCCACTCGTGCCCCTCGACGCGCCCCCGCTCGCCTCGCCCCCCCCTTGGAGCCCCTGGCGTGCCATCCCCCCCATTCTCTCTCCCGCCGTTCCCCACCTCTCCGCATGCCCCTTATCCCTTCCTCCGCTCTCTTGCTCCGTCCCCTGCTCCCCTTCCTCCCATCCCTCCACACGTCGCAATATCCCCCGTCCCCTTGCTAAACCACACGCGGCCATATCCCCCCTCTCCCCTCCCCTCCCTGCGCCTCCCCTCCCTGCGCCTCCCCTCCCTGCGCCGCCCCTCCCTGCGCCTCCCCTCCCTGCTCCGCCTCTCCTCCCCCCTCCATGCGGCCGCCCGTCACGACTGCTCAATTTTACGCTTCCCCCACTGGTGGGCACACCAATTTGCGCGGGCTCTCGAGAAGGCGGCGGAGGGGCTTGCGCGCAGAATGGTGGCGCCGGCGCCGGCGATGGCGGCGGAGATGACTGAGGTGGCACCGGTGCAATTGGCGTGGGTTTCCACCGCCTCTTCACGCTGCCGATACTACCGCTGCCACCGCCGCCGCTTCAGCCTTGGCTATTCGCAGCGGCGTTGCCTTTTCCGACAGTTTCGCCGGCACGCGAGTGCTTTCCGCACGCGCCATTGCCCCTCTGCTGTTGCGAATTGGAATGAATCGCTCTCGCCGTCCACGGTCCCTCGCTCGTCGTCTACTGTCCGTCGCTCGTTGCCTACTGTCTACTTTTTTTCCGTCGATTGTCGCTATTTCGTGGGATTCCACCGCCTCTTCACGGCGCAGCTTCGGCCTTCGCTGTTCGCAGCATCGTTTCTGTTTCCGCCGCTGCCGCAGACGGCAGTCCCGCGTGCGCGCGAGTGCTTGCCCCACGCGCCAATGCCGCCGCTCCTCGCACCTCTGATGTCGCGGCTCCGCCATCTGCTCTCGCCGTCAAACGGTCCCGCTTTCGTCGCCTACTAAGGCGCTCATCGCCTACTATCGCTCTCGTCGTCTCATGTCTTTCACTCGTCGCCTCCTATCGCCCTCGTCGCCTAATGTCTTTCGCTCGTCGCCTACTATCGCGGTCGTCGTCTACTGTCCTCGCTCGTCGCCTTCTGTCCACTGCGGCCTCCCAGCCCTCGCTTCCCAAACACGGTATGTTTGGCGAAATGGAATATGTGATTCGTTATGAGTGCGCGTGTTTCAAGAGTGAACTGAAATGCACTAACTTTTGGAAGCTGATGAATGCTACTGAATGCTTAATGATTGTTCAAACATGATTATATAGGCAGAGTTGACCTAGGCGAGGACCTCGGAGTAGCTAGGTTCGGGGGTTTGGCGAGTAGTGAGGTGGCGACTCGGTAGTGGTTCGGGGCGAGCTTCTAGGCCAAACCAGCTGACGCGAGCGCTTCGGAACATATTCGCTAAATGGTATACCAGCTCAACGAAATGAACAAAATACCCCAGAAGCATTTCTACAAATGCTAATCATATTTTCCAACACGTACGAACGTAACTAATACAGTGCACGTACGTGATCTACGTATACGATATTTTTTCGTTTATTTTCTTTTCTTCTATTTTCTTCTTCATTTTCTCAAGGGGCACACACTCTCACAACCCAAACTGCCACCATTAGATTGTTGGAATTTTCCCTTGTGGTAGAAGTCTGCATTTGACTGCAGTGCGTCTTGCTTGTAGCCTGGCTGCCTTGACCTCGTTATGCTCCAGCAGGCATCCTTTCATACATGACAGAGGCAACGGAGGTGGGAGTGAGATGGTGATGCGAGTGAGATGGTGGTGGGCGGGATCGCGGCGGCACTACCACATAACAATACCACCTGGTGGGACTGCTATGCTTGCTTCCCAACGTCAGGGTTTAGGCCTTGTTTGCTCTTCTGGGGAGTGATTTTCCTGCCACGCCTGCCCCTCCACGCCTGTCTCTTCCGCTCTGTCTACGCCAGCACACTCTCAAGCACCCTGTGCACCCAAATAGTGTGCGCGTGAGGGAGAATCACACACGGCCCTATCCCTCCGCCTGGCCATCGCACCATAGCCATCTCCCCGCTCTACCTCCACCAGCATGCACTTGAGAGCAGCCTGTGTGCCCCATTTCCGTCCAGAATGGCCACGGCACTCACCCGACAGCGCGGGCGGTTTAGTGCCGGGCAAGGAGGAGATGATTGGAAGAAGAAAAGAGAGTGCGGGTCTGTGGGCGAGGGGCACGTTGTCGTGAGAGAGTGGGTGAGGGCAATGCAGTGCAGGGAGAGGAAGAGAGAAATGCAGAGCGAAGAGAAGAGGTGAGGCACTGCGAGAAAATCACAGCCCCTTATTTGGCAGGAAGAGCATGAATGAGAGGAGACTTGGAGGGTTGCCATGCAAGGAAAGGAGTTGAGGAGAGGGTGAGGGCAGCGAAGTGAATGCCAGCAGGGAGGTTAAGAGGTCCGCATGTGAGGTTAGGTTACCACAATCAATAACCTGAGAGGAAGCTTGGAGTAACTTCTTAAGATGCAAGGAGACGAGGTGAGGAGATGTGAGGGAAACATGGTAGCGGAGCCTATTGAACCAAACAGGGAAAGAGGTGAGCGAGTGAGGGAACCACAATCAATCACCAGAGAGCCCACAGGGAGAAAATTGACCTCACCTTGCCTAGGCAGCGTCAGGAGAGAGGAACGGGCATGGGGAACATTATCACAGCCGCGAACATTACCCCTCACGCATGCACTCGTACCAGCCCTCACTTGTGTTACTTGACAGAAGCACTATCGCACCACATTCAACTCCCGCATTCACCTGGCAAGGCGTGTGGTGAGAGTTGCGAGCGTGGGTGGGTAAGCTGCGCGCATTACTTTATGCCTAACGGATGCACTCCCACCATTCCTCACCTTACCGTGTGTTACCTGACAGAAGCACTGTCGCACCACATTCAACACATGCAGTCACCTGGCAAAGCGTCTCCGATGATGCATGGTCTAGGGTGGCGACCGGTGGATGTTGCGGTGTGGGAGAGGCTAAGGGGCTAAGGGGGAAGGCGAGAGGATTGCATGATGAGGAACCTGCAAGGGCCACGACAGGGCTGGCTGGTGGATGGTGCCATGTGGGGAGGAGGGGAGACGGTGGAGGGGCGTGTGCAGTTGGGTGGATGGGGGTGGTTCGAGCTGGGAATGCTACATGCATCATCTGATAGGATAGACGGATGTGGGGACAGCGTCAAGCCTGTCTGGGGGACAGGGCGGCAGGCGGGGGTGAGGTGGGTGGATGGATGGGGTCACGATGAAGGCTGCACGCAGAAACAACTCTTGATCTGTTTTGAGGTCAAAACAATGCGTACATGGATAGGAAAAAAGCACGCAAATTTTCGAAAATGTCTTACATCATTACAATCCGCCACCACCTCCTGTTATCACATCAACTGCCCCAAATACCCCTTCCACGTTGACTGGCAGCACCACACACTTGTCTCTCCTTTCCAGCACCAAACACTTGGTTCTCCCTCCTAAAACCACACACATGTGCACTACTCACAGTCATCACACCCCTTACCATCATTCCTCCCTCACCTGCCATTCTCGTCCCTCCCCCTCCTGCCACTCCATACACTTGGCCAACTCGTTCAGCCCAGCATGGCTCCCTGTGCGATGGGGTGGTTAAGTGGTGGGGGAGGGGAGAGGGGAGAATCACATTCACCTCCTCACCGCCTGCCCCAACTCCTTCAGTCCTGCCAGTACCCGCTGCTGCATCGCTCCCTGTGCAATGCTGGCCAAGTGATTTGATCGCAAGGGGCGTTGCAACGGCCGGGCTCAGCAAGGTGGAGTGGAGGTGGAATGGTCACGAGAGAATTGAGTCGACTCAACAACGAGAGTATTCCGGGCTTGGTGAGGCGGTGCAACAACAGCACCATGACTAACCCGGACTTATTGGGGTGGTTCAGCGACAGGACTCAGCATGAGGGAGAGGTGGGGTGGGGAAGACCTTTGAGTCGACTCAACAAGCTGTGAGAGGGTGGGCACTGTGAGGTGAGAAGGTGGGCATTGTGAGGTGAGACACTGGCACCTTGACGTGACTGCACGGGGGGGCTGCCAACGCCAAGGCTCACCTTGAGGCTGAATGTTTTTCGTTACGCAGAATGTTTTTTTGAGTCGACTCGAATATTTTTCGCCTCACCTGCTGCATGCTTCCACGCCAATGAAAGTGGTCAGGTGAGTTTGCCTTTTCACAGCGCTATCCTCTTGCCCTGTCGTCTCCTCCCCACACTTCAGCTCCCCTCCTTTCTGCTCCCCTCCCTTCTCCTCCCCTCTTTTCTCCTCCCACCTCTGCTCCTCCCATTCCGTCTCCTCCCATTCTGTCCTCCATCCCACCCTCTTCAGACCCACCCCTCGCTTCTCCCCCTTCAGAACCTCCCCTCACCTCGACCACCATCATCGCTATGCCACCACACCCTTTCACACCCCATTCCCGCCTCTCATTTGCCACCCATCCCGTGCCGCCTCCAAACCTCTCACCATCGCCATGCCTCTCATCTTCCCCATGCCGCTCATCTTCCCCATGCCGCTCATCTTCCCCATGCCGCTCATCTTCCCCATGCCGCTCATCTTCCCCATGCCGCTCATCTTCCCCATGCCGCTCATCTTCCCCATGCCTCTCATCTTCCCCATGCCTCTCATCTTCCCCATGCCGCTCATCTTCCCCATGCCGCTCATCTTCCCCATGCCGCTCATCTTCCCCATGCCGCTCATCTTCCCCATGCCGCTCATCTTCCCCATGCCGCTCATCTTCCCCATGCCGCTCATCTTCCCCATGCCGCTCATCTTCCCCATGCCGCTCATCTTCCCCATGCCGCTCATCTTCCCCATGCCTCTCATCTTCCCCATGCCTCTCATCTTCCCCATGCCGCTCATCTTCCCCATGCCGCTCATCTTCCCCATGCCGCTCATCTTCCCCATGCCGCTCATCTTCCCCATGCCGCTCATCTTCCCCATGCCGCTCATCTTCCCCATGCCGCTCATCTTCCCCATGCCTCTCATCTTCCCCATGCCGCTCATCTTCCCCATGCCGCTCATCTTCCCCATGCCGCTCATCTTCCCCATGCCGCTCATCTTCCCCATGCCTCTCATCTTCCCCATGCCTCTCATCTTCCCCATGCCGCTCATCTTCCCCATGCCTCTCATCTTCCCCATGCCTCTCATCTTCCCCATGCCGCTCATCTTCCCCATGCCGCTCATCTTCCCCATGCCTCTCATCTTCCCCATGCCTCTCATCTTCCCCATGCCGCTCATCTTCCCCATGCCTCTCATCTTCCCCATGCCTCTCATCTTCCCCATGCCGCTCATCTTCCCCATGCCTCTCATCTTCCCCATGCCTCTCATCTTCCCCATGCCGCTCATCTTCCCCATGCCTCTCATCTTCCCCATGCCGCTCATCTTCCCCATGCCGCTCATCTTCCCCATGCCGCTCATCTTCCCCATGCCTCTCATCTTCCCCATGCCTCTCATCTTCCCCATGCCTCTCATCTTCCCCATGCCGCTCATCTTCCCCATGCCGCTCATCTTCCCCATGCCGCTCATCTTCCCCATGCCTCTCATCATCCCCATGCCGCTCATCTTCCCCATGCCTCTCATCTTCCCCATGCCTCTCATCTTCCCCATGCCGCTCATCTTCCCCATGCCGCTCATCTTCCCCATGCCTCTCATCTTCCCCATGCCGCTCATCTTCCCCATGCCGCTCATCTTCCCCATGCCGCTCATCTTCCCCATGCCGCTCATCTTCCCCATGCCGCTCATCTTCCCCATGCCGCTCATCTTCCCCATGCCGCTCATCTTCCCCATGCCGCTCATCTTCCCCATGCCTCTCATCTTCCCCATGCCGCTCATCTTCCCCATGCCTCTCATCTTCCCCATGCCGCTCATCTTCCCCATGCCTCTCATCTTCCCCATGCCTCTCATCTTCCCCATGCCTCTCATCTCCCAGAAGGGCGCTTCTTCCACCCAGAGGGCCCACCCAACCACGCACCTTCCTGCAATGGCTGCTGCCACCATCTGACTTACCACCTCCTCAATTGCTCTCACCCATCCCCTCCTCTTCTGTTACATCCCCACCCACATTCACCCTCTCCCCCTTCTCCCCATCCCCCTTCTCCCCATCCCCCTTCTCCCCATCCCCCTTCTCCCCATCCCCCTTCCATCCTCCTATCCCCCCTGCCTTTTCTCCCCCGTCTCCCCCGTCTCCCCCATTCCCCCCTCCCCAGCAGCCTGTCTCGCCAGCACCACCATGCGCTTTAAGCGGCTCGCTCACTTCTGCTTCCGCGTCTGCCTCTCCTTCCCCCGCCTCACACCAATTCTCTCCCACGTCGCCGGGTTCACCCGCACCCGCCCCCTCCCCGGGCTCTCCCCCGCGGCCTCCCCAGTGGCCCCCCTCGTTCCCCCACTCGCGCTCTCCGCGGCCACCCACCTGCCCTCCCTCTCGGCCCCCCTCGAGCCCCATGCGCGCGCTCTCCCCTTTTCCCTCCCTCCCGCCCGTCCCCACCCCTCCGCCTGCCCCTTCTCCCCTCCTCCACCCTCCTGCTCCACCCCTTGCTCCCCCTTCCCCCATCCCTCCCCACGTTTCCGCCAAACCCAAACCACACGCGGCCATATCCCCCCTCTCCCCTCCCCTCCCTGCGCCTCCCCTCCCCGCTCCGCCTCTCCTGCCCCGTCCACACGGCCGCCCGTCACTACTGCCCCCATCTGCGCACCCTCGCACACTGGCGCGCACACCAATTTGTTCGGGCTCTCGCGTAGCGTGGTGATGCCGGCGCGGGAGAGGAAGTGATCCAGGCGGAGGGCAACTGGCGCGGGCTTCCACCGCCTCTTCGCGCCGCCGCCACCGCAGCCGGTTCAGCCTTTGCTGTTCACACCGATGTTGCTGTTTCCGCCGCTGCCAGAGCCGGCTGTCCCGCCTATGAGCGCTGCTTGCCCCACGCGCCATTGCTGCTGCTCCTCGCGCCTCTGCTGTCGCGGGCTCTCGCGAATTGGAATGTATCGCTCTCGCCGTCCACGGCCCCTCCCTCGTCGCCTACTCGTCGCCTACCATCGCTCGCTCGTCGTATACTGTCGCCTACTGTCTACTTCCAATCGACTGTCGCTGTTTCGTCGCCGTCCATCGCTCTCTCGTCGCCCTGTCTCTCGCTTTGGCGCGACCGCTATCGAGCCACTAACTGAAGCCCCACACTGTTGCCCTCCTAGCTCTTACTTCCTGAACGTTTGAACTCGTCTAGGCAACGTCCCATGCTTGGCCAAATGGTGGGGTGGTGTGCCGTAAGCTGGCTATTACGAAATGTGATTCGTTTTGACTGCACCGGATGTGCTGACGTCACCCCGCCATATACAAGTGGGAATGGACGGACAGCATTCACTATTCCAGTTCAAATATGTTGTACTATATGTGTCTGTTTGTGTTTGGCTTCATGTCGAAGCAACCTGAGGTTCGTTTCAATCAGTCGGAGGTAACCGGTTCAATTTCCGTAAATTCCTTCGGAGAGGACGATGAAAACTTTCGCGTTGCGAAGAATAGCTCCTCGTTTAGACATAAATGTCTGGTTGGCGACGCGATGACGGAACATTCAGGGTGTGAGGAACGCGGTTGTGTGATTTCCGCGACTGGGCAGAAACCAGAGTTACAAATCCTGGCGAAAACTCAAGCTAGGACAACGGGTGGGTGAAAAGACCGCACCCCTGCAATCCCCATGGTTGATGATGGGGAGGAGTTGCATCAGGAAAGGAGGCCTTTGCTCGGAACCGAACAGAGCTCAGCGTAGGCCAGTCAGTTTCAAATTTTAACTACTAGCCTACTTGTACGTGATAACGACTTCACGTTTCAAGCAAATTCATGAGCTTTCACGTCGCCTCGCGTAGATCAGCCCGCCGTTCGCTATGTCTAGTCCTACATCATACGTCACGGCCATTTGTCGGTTCAATTCCAAGTTTTAAGACTTCTGAGACATCTCAAACGCACCGAGTTGCAACGCGATCTTATGTTCCTCTCTCGCCAAGCCTTGATCGGATCAAGTTAAATCCAAACGAACCTCAGGTTGCGCGAAGCGCGTCTTTTCAACTCCGGAACCCAGGCCAACGTTTCAAGGCGCCTCACGAGAATATTTCATCCCAAGTCCGAAGCTTCGCGGCATGCTCTGTCGCTGGTGCGTCTTCCAGGCCAGCAAACGCAGAAGCTTCCGAGGCGCCAGAGATTGCTATCTGTAAGTCGAAATTGATCGCTAGAAGCAAGCCTCTAGTAGCGGTGGAAGTGGAACTTGAAACCCGTACAGAGGACGAGGAGAGGGGGGATGGGAGAGGAGGTCAGAGGAGCATCAGGAGAGTAAAAGGGGGAGAAAAGGGAGATGGGGATGAAAGGGTTGAGAGGGTAGTAGCTGCCGCAGGGAAGCGCGAGGGAGGCAAGCGGAAGAGCTACGGGACGGGAGGCTGCGAGGAGGAGGAGGAGGCAGTGGCAGTGATTGCTGGAGTGCTGAGGGAGAAATTCGGGCCTCAGATTGTGAAAGAGGAGTTGGAGGAGTGGGGGAGTGGGATACGAAGCACCGAAGGCGACGAGGGGGTGGGGAGATTGAAAGAGAAGGAGGAGGGGGATGAGGAGGAGGAGGAGGAAGTGGAGGAGGAGGAGGAGGAAGCAGAAGTAGAACCGTGTGAAGAGGACGCACCACCCACCACATCTCCTTCCACGCACCCTCCTCCACTGAACAGCCGGCGGGTCGTATCTCGCTCCGCCCTCCTCTCCCTCTACCGCTTTTTCTCCTCCCACCTCGGCATCTCCTCCCCTTCCACTGTCGCTGCCCTTCTCGCCTCCAAACCCCAACTCCTCCGCTCCAATCCCGCCAATGATTTCCTGCCACGTGTCCGTCTCCTCCAGTCATATGGCATTTCTAATGCTGACGTCACGCACATGACTTTGATAGCTCCAGCCTGGCTCCGCTCCTCCCTGCAACGGATTCAGAATATGCTTGATTTTCTTTTAGCTAAAGGGATTCGCCGTAGCAGATTGGGTATGGTGCTCCGACGTGGTCGCAACCTACTCTGCTGTGAGGCTCGTTCAACGAACCTGGACATTTTGGTGGAGAGAGCAGGGGTTCCTGTAGACAAGCTGAGTGTGATTATAGAGAAATGCCCGTCCATCTTGACTCAGAGCAAAGAGGCGGTGAGTTCTCAGCTCGGAACGTTATCATCTTTTTTTAAAGCGACTTCTGGAGGAAAGGCAGAAGCAGATAGCACCAGCACAAGCCTCCTGAAGCGGCAACTAGATGAGCCGCAGTCCACTTTCTTGGACACCCGTTTCATTGCCACTGTGCTTTGGCGGGCCCCCACCATCCTCAATCTTTCCACAGAAACTCCCTTAGCTAAGCTCCAGTTCTTTGTGGAGCTGGTGGGGGAGGAGGCAACAAGAAGAGTGGCACAGAGTTATCCGGTGGTTCTGAAACTATCGGAGGAGAATCTGCAAGGTAAGGTGGCGGCATTGGCTGGTTTGATTGGCCGAGAGAATGCTTTGCGGGCTGTGGCACGATTTCCTTCGCTACTAGCTTCTAGTGAAGATGGCTTGAAGGAAAGTTTCAGAGAGCTTGTGCGAGAAGTGGAAGAGGCATTGGAGAGCAGTGGAGAAGAGGGAAGTGGGATGCAAAGGTTGGGGGAAGGTGATAGAGGTGACTGTCTGGAAGTGGAAAGTTATTCCAGAGCACTAAGTGTCGAGAGTTGCATGGCTCGTCAATTGGTTGTGGATTTGGTTATGAAGTACCCGTCGTCTATCTTTTACAGCTGGAAAGCGAACCTGAAGCCCAAGCTGGAGTACTTAAAACGGGACATGGGGCTCTCTATAATGGAGGTGCTTGCCTTTCCTTCCTTTCTTGGGTACAGTTTGGATCTTCGAATCAGACCGCGACATGTGGCCTTAGTGCGATTTGGATATGAGGTTGTGGCACGCGAGATGCCTATTCGGACGAGTGTTGGAGGCAGGAGGGATGTTGCGATAGAAGCTGGGAAGCAGAGGAGCAAGCTGTGTTTTGTCTGCTCCTCGCTTTCGGACGAAGTGGAAGGAGTGGAGGGGATTGAATTGGGAGCTGAAAACAGGAAGAGCAAGGGAACGGGTGGCAGGCAAGAGCAGCAGTATCAAGGGGAGGATGGAGGTAGTAAACTGCTGCTTGAGGAACTCCTGGGCAATGACGAATCAGAGGGGAGAGCTGTTGCTCAGAGAAGCAGCTCGTGAATTTAGAGGCGGCAAAGAAACAGGTGTTTCTGCAGCAGTTTCTTCAATTCACAGACAAGCAGTTTGAGGACAAGTTTGGGGTTAAAGTGTAGGGCTGGTGCGGATAGGCTTCTGTGGTTGTAATTAACAATCATGTATAATCTTGTGGGGATGGGGAGAGGGGAGTGTTAGCAGGGAGAAACAAAAGCAGGTGGAAGGCGATTATGGCATTGGCGGTGGGGGTTCCTGTTTCATAAGCTTTGCTTTTCTCTCTAGTTTCGCTTAAACCAGAGGGGAGGGGGGAGGGGTATAAGCAGAACTAGCAGCAGTGGCAGGAGCAGGAGGCGGAGGGAATTTTGTGAGTGCTACAGTCTTATTGCTGGGTCCTTTTTTGCTGCCAGATGGGACTGGCGGGGGTGTAGCTGCTACAGCTGCCTTTGCTACAGCTGCCTCTGCTACAGCTGTTTCGGCCCTTTCCCTGCCGGACCTGCTACGTCTCTTCCTGTGGGTGGTGGTGTCGCCGGATGTAGCAGAAGAGCTGCTGTTCAGAGGGCTGCTGCTCTGGCCCTGCAAGAGAGGCTCGGCAGGTCATAGGCTCGGTAGGAGGCTCAGTAGTAAGGTTTGGCATGGCAAGGTTCTTCCACCCACTGTCTTCTTTCTTGGTTTGGGCAGTCCCTCTTCTGTTTTCTTCTTCTTTCCAAAGCCCATACACTCTCCCATCAATGCAACAGCACTCGTTCTTTTTCCCTTACCCTTGGTTCCCATGGTACACTTAAGGCTCAAAGCCAACTACACTTATGGTAAATCGTGGTTGTAAATGCAAGTCAACAAACTAATTGTTGTCAGCCTCCTCCCTCCCCCCTGCACTATCCCCTTTCATGCATGTGTCCCCCCCAGGATCGACACTGCCATGATGTCCGCAGCCCTCTTCCTCCCTCCCTCTCCCTCCTCTTCCCCAACATGGCCCTTGGGATTGCCGCTGGCCTGCTAACGGTCTAGTCCAATAGCGTGCTGCTGCCAGCTATCGCCCTGCATTCGTCTGCCCTTCTCTAAGCACCCATGGTTACAGCTGCAGGTTCTGTTTAGCAAGAAGGCTCTATGTCGTCCTTTCTAGTCTGCTTGTCAATGTGTACCAAAACTCTGCCAAGAATAGCATATAGTAGTGTTTTTTTTCTTGAAATAACCCAGAAACCAGGATGCTTGAAAATCACATCCCTTCAATGAGGAAGTATCCTGTACCTAAGTATCCTGCTCTGTTAGTATGCTTTATACTGTTACCGGTAAAGTATCAAGTACCAAATTCCTGAGTTGGACTGGAGGGGCGATCCAGAGCAGAGCCCTATAGTAGCAAGGCACAAGTAGTGTAGGGCTTGCTGCTATTGTGCCCCGTGCGCGAGAGGCCATGCCTGATGAGGGAGCAAGTGAGGCTGTGAGTGTCTCTCCACATTGCCAATCTGAAAGCATGTGTATCAGTCGGTCGATTTGCTCCTTGGGCAGCTTCACAGATCGGACATGTATCTCGAAGCCCAGTGGGGGTCAGGGAGAGATTTGACAGCTTGACAGCCGCGTGGGTGTAGACCACCACTGCTGCTCCAATCACCTGAGGACACGTGTGCAGATGGAAGCAGGAGGAACGGGTAGGCGGGGAGTTGGGGAGGGGCAGACATCAGGGTTGGAGAAAAGGTTTCGGGGTAAATGAAATTTGGGAACATGTTATGGGAACGAGGTTCGGAAACACGGGTCGATAACGTGAGGTTTGGTAACACGGTTGGGGGACAAGGTTGAAACACGGTTCGGAAAAAGTAGGCGTGGGAACACGGTTCGGAAAAAAGTAAGCATGGGAACACGGTACGGAGATGTGGTTGAAAGGTTTTGAGGTTTGGCAGCACGGGCGAGGCCTGGCAGGGAGGCAAGAAATGGGAGGATGCAGGGATAATAGGTGACGGAACCACGGGAACTTCATGGGGACATTGCAAGGGAAGGGAAGCGCCATTGCTGTCGAGAATGGCCGCAGCACTCACGCGGCAGCTAGGGCGGTTCAAGGCCTGGCAAGGTAGGGTGGGGATGGGAGTTGTGTTGCAAGGATAAAGGGCGAGGGGTGGGTGAGGGCACTGCAATGCAGACTGTGTGCCTCATTGCCATGCAGAAACGCCATGGCACTCACTCGATAGCGTGGGCGGTTCAAGGCCTGGCAGAGAAATGCAGTTTAAGACGGGCACAGAGCAGGTGATGCAAGGCAAGCAGAAGAGGTGCGGAGTGAGTGAGGGCAATGCGGCAGTGCAGCCAATGGAGCCAAACACAGGAGGGTGGGAGGTCAGCAAGTGAGGTTACCACAGGTGAGAGCCACAGAGGAACTACCTTAACTGTGGTAGCACTTTTTGACGGAGCCATGGGAGAGAGCCACGACCACCAGAATGTAACATGCCTTACACCTGACGCATGCAACCCTCCATTTCCCTCCTCCTCCTCACGGTGTGCTACCTGAAAGCAGCACACCCTATCGTATTCACCACCAGAAGTCACTAGGCGGCATCTTCATATAGCCACGAGCATGGAAATGCCACTTGCATTGCCCAACCCCTCACGCATGCACTCACCTCGTTCCCCTGCTTACCGTGTGTCACGTGCTGGTAGTACCACCCCAATACAGTCAACACCTGCACTCGCCTTTGAGAGGTGGTGTCTGGAGAGAGGCATAACTACAGGAGTGCTGCGTGTATTACACCCTCCTGCACTCACGCACTCCTGGGATAGAACCAACAGCCCACCTTACCGTGTGCTACTTGATAGCACCAACACTCCACCTCAGCCGGCACTAGCCTTGGGGTGGGTGGGGTGAGTGCGTGGGCTGGGTTGGTTTGAACAGGAAATGCTGCATGCGGCAGCACCTTGTGGAAAGGATATGAGCGCCGCATCAAGACTGCCTGGTGTGTGGTAGCATGGGAGAGAGGGTGGGGGGGTGAGAAGGCGGGGAAGGAGAGGAAGAAGGGCAGAAGGGACTGGGAAAGGGGAAGGAGAAAGGCCGGAGAGGAAGGGGAAAGGGCAGAGAGGAATGGGAAAGGGCGGAGCATTTGATCTGCTGCGTGCAACTGCATCTGGCAGAATGGGCGTGAGGGCAGTGTCAAGACCGCCTTGGGATAGGGGACAGAAGAGTGGGTGGGGTGGAGTGGCTCGAGGTGCCTTGAGGTGGTATGACCTATGAATGTTTTGTGCGGCTGCAAAGCATATGCTATGACCATGGTGAAGGCAGCGAGCGTGCCTGGTGTGTGGCGCTGTAGAGGAGACGGCAGAGGAGACCGAAGAGGTTAGAGGTTTGTGGGGTTGGTGGGGTGGGGGTGGTTTGAGCTGTGAATGCTGTGTCTGGACGCATGTGGTGGCATGGAAGCAAGGGCAGCGTCAAGGGCGCCTAACGGATGGTGCCATGGCCCATGGGGGACACATTGGGGGGAGTCTTCCCCCCAGTGGGGGAGAGGGCGGAGGGAGGGCACGCGTTCAAACAAGAGCTGATGGCTTCATCCTTAGTCAACGCCGAAGAATTTCAAAAAAGGCAACGAACCAAACTGACGCATTCGGGTCAACCTTAGTCAACGCTCTAGAATCTCAAGAAAGAATCACTCGTCCTTTCTCTCTAAACCCCCCCTGTTATCCTATCAAAACCCCAGATTCCCCCGGTTATCCCCTTGGACCCCCGAACCCCCCTCGAATCCCCCCTGATCTCTTAGTTCTAATATTCACAACCCCCCCCAATCACCATATTATCCTCTCACCCCTCCCCAATTCCCCATGTTGTCCTCTCAAAACCCCCAATGCCCCTGTTATTCCCTCAAACCCCTGAGACCCCCCTGTTATCCTATCTAACTCCCAAATTTCCCCTGTTATCCTTATCCTAGATATATTAATCATAATATTGGAAACCCCCCACATCACCTGATTATCCTCTCAAAACCCCACATTCTCCTGTTATCCTCTCAAAACCCCACATTCTCCTGTTATCCTCGCAAACCCCCGAATTTCCCTATTAACCTCTCCAACCCTCGAACCCCCCAATGCACTGCCTCTGTAATTCACCCCTTATCCTCCACTCCCCTCCGCCCTACCCCTCCCTTCCTCCCAGCCTCTCACGCACTCGTGCACGATTCACTGCCATCACCTCCCACCCACATCTTCCCTCACCTGCCCTCTTGCCTCTTCCACATCCGGCGCCAGCACCACACTCTTGGCCCTCCCACTGCGCACCGCCTGCCCCACCTCCTTCAGCACTGCCAGCAAACAGCATGAAGGGGGATACCAGTAAGTGGGGAGGGGGAAAAAACAGGTGTTGATTCTGTAGTCTATAGTCCCCCACCTATTTCAGCCCCGCCAGAACCCGCCACCTCATTGCACCCTGCTCCAATGGGACGAAGGGGGGCGGGGTGGGGGTGGAGGGGATGGGGAGGGGAAGGGGAATGGGGAGGAGGAGAGGAATGGGTATGGAAAAATCATCTGCCCGATGAAAAAAGTCAATGGCGCGTGCCCCATCTCCTTCGGCCCTTCTCCCCCACTATATTTTATTTGGAAGTAGAAATGAGGAACGAAGGCTAAAGTGATACTGAGACAGCAGAGCGTGAGGAAGAGTGACGCGATGGCCGGGAGACAACGCGTCATCGGATTTGAGAAAGGATATCCAGTAGACGAGTCGTTCCGAACACGGCATTCGTGAATGCGGTGTCGGCGGCAGTCAGAGGTGGAAATGGGAGCAAAAAGAGGCGGAAAAAGTTGATGGTTGACGAACAAAACAGCAATGTGTGCCAGCCGGGAATTGAACACGGGTATGCACCGAGCTGATGGCAGGGTGCTATTCTACCTCTTCATTGACACTATAGTAAATGTACAATGGATACAAGACAAATCCAAGCATCTAGTGTATGGAAAGACATGCAGGCTAATCCTATTGTGAGGCCTACAAATAGGCCTCTGAGATGTCTCAGTGGTCCTCTCCAAAGTAGGCAAAGTCAGCTGCAGAAAGAGAAGTCACCTCGGGTGGTGCGTGGTTGACGCCCTCGGTAAAACGAATTTGTGCACGACGACAAACAGTGCGAGACTGCTCACGTTGATGGACCAGAGAAATCCGTTTGTAGAAGTTGGTCTCAAACAGCAGGGGAAGGAAATCTGTAGCACCACTCAAGTCACGGAGTTGTGAAGCCCCTTTGCGGCTGCATTGGCGTAGGAAATTGTTGAACGATGAGCCGAAGCAACCGAAGGTTTCGATGACAAGGGGAAACAATTTGACGTCTGGACGGTCACGAAGTGCTGCAGCATAGTGGGTGGTCTTCTCACTTTCACGAGTGGCTGCTGCTGAACCAATCACCGTAGCTGCGTTGGAGTGTGGAAACCCCTTTTGTGGATCAGCAATAGAAACATCCAAGGCCCAGGTGGTACCAGAGCTAATGTCGCGGCACGTGATGTCTGTGCGGCGGCCAGGCAGGAGATGCTGGTCTTCCATCTGCGCAGAGAACCCAAGCTCCAAGGCAATGCGATGAACTTCTCGTTTGATTGCGTCGTGCACCTTAGTAGGCTCGTTGTTGCTAGGGCAGCGAAGGACATGAGAATGGATGGAAGGATCGGTGAACGGGGAGTTGCAGGTGCAGGTGAGTGAAGATGAAAGGTGAGGAAGAGGAAGGCCTAAGCGGATAGCTGCTGCAATGCGCCACTCGGTCTCTGAAAGCTGCATGTGCGGGGAGGATGGAGCCACAGTGAGCCAGTCACCTGCATGCGGGCCCTGCAAAGAGGTTAGACGAGCAAGGCGAAGCGGGGACGTTACTGTGGCTCGAACCTTCTCCAGCAAATCGGCTTCGAGGTGTTGGGAGAGGGTAGCCCGATTGAAGCACAGGCCATGATGGGAAGCGGTCACGAATGTCTTGGGGAAGCATGGTCATGGTAGATGAGATTGAAGGGTCGAGGAGGTTAATGGAGTCCGTGGTGACGTAAGGGCGGAAAAGAGGAGCACCATCAGTGATGAAGTGGGTGGATAGGGTCGAAACTGCCTGCGCCCAGCTGCAAAGGTAACTGAGGGGGGCGATGGATGCAGAGCTGCGAATGCCGAAGCCACCTAAGCGGATAGGGAGCGAGGCTTGGAGGCGGGCCGATGTGGACTGTTCAGAGGTGGGATTCCAGTACTCGGAGCCCAGGAGCTGAGAGAAGTGGCTGAAAATCGTGCTGTCCCATGAAGAGAGTAGCTCTTGGATTTCGGGAAAAGGTGCGACAGTTCTGAGGAGGAAAGAAGGTCGGGCAGTGATGCATAAGGAAAGGATCCGTGAGGCAATCTGTGGGTCCTGCAGTTGATGCAGTAAAGGGAGGGAGGTAGTGAAAGAATCGAGCTTGTCACGAACTGTAGAGATGATGAAACCGTCTGAGCCGGTGGGAACTCCAGCCACAGTGAGACCGTTTGCAGCGATGGAAATACCCGGGGGCGGAATGCAGTGTTCGGGCAAGTCCATAGGGGCCCATAGAGAGCACTTAGAGGGTTGGACAGTAAGGCCAAGAGAGAGAAGGCGGGAGGTAAGGTCATTGTATGCGGAAAAGACGTCTGAGGGAGGGCCGACCAAGTAGGTATCGTCTGCGTATGAGGTAACGAAAATTGAGGGAGACTGTTGCTGGGTTGGTTGGATGGCTAGCTGCTGTGTTAGGGCGTAAAGAAAAGGGCCACAAGGGTCGCCTTGACGAACACCAGAAGCTGACTGGAATGTGTGGAGAAGGGGGCCGCTGCGGTAGTGAAGAGGTGAAGGGGTGGAGTAGAATAGGCGGAAGAATGGAATGAGACTAGAGAATGGGGAGCGCCTTAATGCCTCAAACATGGAAACCCGGTTGAATGAGTTGAACGCGTTTGCAATGTCCAGCTGAAGCACCACCCAGTCTGGATGAAGGGAGAAGGCGGAGCACACTGCGTGCGACATAATCTCGATCACGGCCGGAACTGCTACGCCAAATTGAAGGTGAGGAAGGAATGTCTCTCGCATCTGCTGCTTGAAAAGGAGAGTGATGCAGCGTGAAAGGAGGCGTGGTAGCACTTCCCCAATGGCGATGGGACGTACACCACCATGCGGTTTCTGTAGGGCCACGAGGTTCGAAGCGGTGTAGAAAGGCCTGACTGCAAGTGGAAGATCACCCTGCAGCCAGTTCTGGAATACGTGGAGGAGAGAAGGGAGATGCTGCTGGTGAGAGAGAAACATGTCCCTGAGGTGCTCAATGAACCACCCAGAAGGTCCAGCAGCTGTGCCACGGGGGGCGGACTGTAGAGCGGCCTGGAGAACAGGGACAGTAAGCTGTGGTGCGGCTGTAGGAGTGAAGCTGTGTACCCAGTCAGGAATTTCTGCTGCAGCAGGTGGGTGCTTGGAGCTGAGGGCAGCAACCGTTTCTGATGATGGAGGAGCTAGCTCGCCAGCTTCCAGTGCTGCCAGTGAACGTGACCAGTCCCCGCATTTCGCAAACCGTTTCGCACGGTTGAGACGAGCCTGCAGCGCCGTAGAACGTGCCGATGCCATGTGCAAAGGTCTGGCGGCTAGAGTGGCTGCAGCTACGGCTTCACTGAAAAGAGACTGCCAGTCACCATTGATGAAGCGGCGCGCTAAGGAGGCACATGAAGAGGTAAGGGACTGCGTGGGAGCAGCGGCGGATGGTAGGCGCAGCAAGAGACGCGGAAATGCCAAGAGAATGAGGTGTGCAGCGTCGTCAGAAGGATCTGTGCAAGGCGGCGCAGTGGAATGAGAAGTGCATCGAGAATGAGGAGTCGGATGCGGGAGGGGATTCGGCGGAGAATAGGGCCAGGTGAGACTGCTGGGCTGAAGAAGGAAGGCCAATCCCAGGAAGGAACGGCCTCCCAAGTGGCTTGAGGAATTGCAGGTCGATCCACGGCTGCAGGCGCCGAGGTTGGTGCTATTCTACCACTAGACCACTGGCACACTGGATGAAAATGTGTTGGCTCTTTTGCCTTAATGAAAGCGCTTGTAGTAAACCACCACTGGGCCCTGCCTTACCCGTGAGGCCCAGCTCAACACGTTTGATCTTAAAGATGAGCATGCGCCACATCTTGAGCACAAGAATTTCTGCCTCCTCGTCCAACATCGGCTCCAGCAGGCCCAGCAGTGCAGCCCCACCCACATGCTGCTGCGCTTGGAGAGAATGAAGTTGACGAGGGTGGGCTCCTCCTCTCCCAGGAACTCCTGGATCTTGCGCGCCACCCATGGCCTCATGCGCTGGTGCAGGCACTCTGAGGAAGGGTGGGGTGACCCGTGGAAAAGGAGGGGGGGTGGGCAAAGGAGGAGAGGGGGAACGGAGGAGGGTGGAGAGGATGAAGGCAACGAGCGTGGACTCCTCCTTCCCCAGGAACTCCTGGACCTTGCGCGCCACCCATGGCTGCAGGGCACTTTGGGGGAGCAGTGTGGAGGGATGGAAGAGATGGAAGGAGAGTGACATGAAAAGTGTGGGTGGGCGAGTGGATTGGAAGAGGATGCATGTGATGAGGTCGCCAAGCATGCATGCGCAGTTGCTGTGCAGTCTGAGCGATGATGGTGAGCGGTGACGGCGGCGATCAAGAGCAACTGGAAGATTACAACTTCAGGCCCTTTGCTCCCCCCACCTGACTACCCTCCCTTCAGGCCCTTTGCTTCCCCCACCTTACTACCCTCCCTTCAGGCCCTTTGCTCCCCCCACCTTACTACCCTCCCTTCAGGCCCTTTGCTCCCCCCGCCTTACTACCCTCCCTTCAGGACCTTTGCTCCCCCCACCTTACTACCCTCCCTTCAGGCCCTTTGCTCCCCCCACCTGACTACCCTCCCTTCAGGCCCTTTGCTCCCCCCACCTTACTACCCTCCCTTCAGGCCCTTTGCTCCCCCCACCTGACTACCCTCCCTTCAGGCCCTTTGCTCCCCCCACCTGACTACCCTCCCTCCCTTCAGGCCCTTTTCTCCCCCCACCTTACTACCCTCCCTTCAGGCCCTTTGCTCCCCCCACCTGACTACCCTCCCTTCAGGCCCTTTGCTCCCCCCACCTTACTACCCTCCCTTCAGGCCCTTTGCTCCCCCCACCTTACTACCCTCCCTTCAGGCCCTTTGCTCCCCCCACCTTACTACCCTCCCTTCAGGCCCTTTGCTCCCCCCACCTTACTACCCTCCCTTCAGGCCCTTTGCTCCCCCCACCTGACTACCCTCCCTCCCTTCAGGCCCTTTGCTCCCCCCACCTTACTACCCTCCCTTCAGGCCCTTTGCTCCCCCCACCTTACTACCCTCCCTTCTGTCAAACATTATATGTTTATATTGTGTAGGCTATAGTGGGTTTAGCCTTAGGGGGTACAACTTTGCTAGGGTTTCCTACTTGTATCACCCTGCTGCCTAGTTTCATCCATTCTCGTTCAGTTCTACATTCTAACATGGTATCCGACGCCTAGGTCAGGACCTAGGACCGACGTTGGTTAGGGCCCACCGTTCCGCCGCGCCCTTGCGCGACCGTGTCTGATAGTGCCTCGCGCCGTCGAGCGCCCTTACTAGCGACGTCGAGCGCCCCTTCTAGCGCCGTCGAGCGCCCTTCCTAGCGCCGTCGAGCGCCCTTCCTAGCGTCGTCGTGCGCCCCTTCTAGCGCCGTCGTGCGCCCCTACCCGCGCTCTCGAGCGCCTGCCTACTCGCGCCCTTGAGCGCCTGCCTACTCGCGCCCTCGAGAGCCACCTTGCCGCCCTGCCCTGCAGGCCACGCGCGGGCTGGCTCTGCACCCGCGCAGCCGCCCCTGGTTTAGGGTTTCGCGGCCCCTGGACCCCGCGACGCGTCGCCCTGCTCGTCGCGGCACCTCTGCGGGACCCCGGCGTCGTCCCTGTCTCGTTGCGACGCCCCTACGGGTCCCGCGAGTCGCCCCTGCCTCGTCGCGACGCCCCCCCTGCGGGACCCGCGAGTCGCCCCTGCCTCGTCGCGACGACCCTGCGGGACCCGTGCGTCGCCCACGCCTCGTCGCGGCGCTTCTGCGGGACCCACGCGCGTCGCCCCTGCCTCGTAGCGACGCCCCCCGTGCGACGCGCGCGTCGCCACCGGGACTCGCGCGCGTCGCCCCTGCCTCGTCGCGACGCCCCCGCGTGACCCGCGCGTCGCCACTGGGACCCGCGCGGGGTCGCCCCTGCTCGCCGCGGCGCCCTGCCCTACCCCGTGACCGCCCTTGGGACGGCCGCCCCTGGCCCCTGGAGCAGCCGCCACTGCAGCAGCCGCCCCTGGACCCTGGAGCAGCCGCCCCTGGCCCCTGAAGCGGCAGCCACTGCAGCAGCCGCCCCTGGACCCTGGAGCAGCCGCCCCTGCAGCAGCCGCCCCTGGCCCCTGGAGCAGCCGCCACTGCAGCAGCCGCCCCTGGACCCTGCAGCAGCCGCCCCTGGCCCCTGGAGCAGCCGCCACTGCAGCAGCCGCCCCTGGACCCTGGAGCAGCCGCCCCTACAGCAGCCGCCCCTGGCCACCTGGTGCAGCCGCCACTGCAGGAGCCGCCCCTGGCCCCTGGAGCAGCTGCCGTCGCGGCCCGGCCCTGCCCTGCAGCAGCTGCCGCGGAGCTCCCTGCCGCGGCCCGACCCCGCCCTCCAGCTGTAGCGGCCCCGCTGTCGCCACCGTCGTGCGCCTGCCCTTCCTACCACTGGTGAGCACTGCCCTGCCCGCACTGTTACTGCCGCTACTGCTGCTACTGCTGCTCCTGGCGTGGCCAGATGCAGCTCCAGGGCCGTCCGCGTGTGTCCCTCACGCCCCAGCAGCTTCGTGAGTGGTACGTCAGTTGGGGTTGTCGGGGTGGCCGTAGTGGGAGTCGTCCTGGAGTCGGTAGTTCGGGAGTTTCTTGTAGTGGCCCGGTGCAGCAGCAGCGTCGTCCGCGCGAGACTCTTTCACCCCAGCAGCTTCGTGAGTGGTACGCTCAGAGCAGAGGGTCGCTGAGTACTGCTCGCTGCCCGTACGTTATTAGCACGGGTGCCCGGACTGGTCAGCCTTGCGGGATGCGTGGTCACACAGAGTCCCACTGCTTCGCCCGTCTGAGCGACGCTTGGCGTACAGAGTTTGGCGACGACACTGAGCTCCCCGACTGGGTGGAGCTACTTAGGCAGAGGGTAGATATCTTTGCTTCTGACTATGATGCTATCCTCACTGCCATGTATGCATTGTCTACTAGTACTGAGAGTGCCTGTCACCTGTGTGTGCCGCCTGACCCCGGTATCCAGTCTGCTGCTCTAGGTACTGGTGAGGCTGCCGCTCTAGGTGCTAGTGTGTCTGCTGCCCCAGGTACTGGTGAGGCTGCTGCTCTAGGTGCTCGTGCGTCTGCGCCCTCTGGTACTAAGTCTACTGAGGCACTGCACACCTTCACACTGGACTCAGGTGCTTCTCGCTGTTTCTTTCGTGACCGCACGGCCCTTGAGCAGCTTGCTAGGCCGGTTGCAGTCTCCCTCGCTGACCCCTCTGGGGGTCCGGTCATTGCGACCTCCTCCACTGTCCTCCCTTGTCCTGCGGTCCCGTCGGGCACACTGTCAGGTCTCTACCTCCCCTCGTTCTCTACGAACTTGGTGGCGGGTAGTGCGCTCCAGGACGGGGGTGTCCACCAGTTCACCCCTGCCTACGAGCGCGTGACACACTGCACGTGCGCTCGGACGGGTCGCCACCTGGCTACCTTTACTCGGCAGCCGGGGTCGGACCTGTACACACTGACCACTGAGTCCCCTCAGGTAGCTGCGTCTGCGTCTGCGTCAGGTCAGCTATCGGCCCCCTGCTCGTGTCGCTCCCTGTCGCACGAGACCGTCCTCTGGCACCACCGCCTTGGTCACCCGTCAGTGCAGCGCCTTCGTGCCATGCACAAACGGTACCTTGTCTCTGGTCTTCCCAGGGTTCTCCCTCCACTCCCACCCTCGCCTGCTCCTCCCTGCCTTCCCTGTGTCGAGGGGCGGCAGCGCGCCGCTCCTCACTCCTCCTCGTTTCCCCTGACGACTGCTCCCTTGCAGACGCTCCACATGGATGTGTGGGGCCCAGCCCGCGTCCGTGGACAGGGTCAGGAGAGGTACTTCCTGATCGTTATTGACGACTACTCGCGCTACACCACGGTCTTCAACTTGCGCACCAAGGGTGAGGTCCCTGATGTTTTGATCCCTTGGATCCGCGCTTCTCGTCTCCAGCTCAGTGAGCGGTTCCACTCGGACTTTCCTGTCTTACGTCTGCACTCTGACAGAGGTGGTGAGTTCTCCTCCGACCTCTTGGCAGCCTACTATGCGGAGCACGGCATCCGCCAGTCGTTCACGCTTCCGGCCTCTCCACAGCAGAATGGGGTTGCTGAGCGCCGCATTGGTTTGGTCATGGAGGTCGCTCGTACCTCCCTGATCTATGCGGCTGCCCCCCACTTTCTGTGGCCGTTTGCGGTCCGATACGCTGCGCATCAGCTCAACCTCTGGCCCCGTGTCTCCGTTCCGGAGACTTCGCCGACACTGCGTTGGACGGGAGAGGTTGGCGATGCGTCGCGTTTTCGGGTCTGGGGATCTCGAGCTTTTGTTCGCGATACGTCCGCGGACAAGCTCTCCTCCCGCGCTGTTCCTTGTGTCTTCCTTGGCTTTGTCCCGGACGCGTCTGGTTGGCAGTTTTACCACGCCACCTCGCGCCGTGTCTTGCCCTCTCAGGACGTCACTTTTGACGAGTCGGTGCCCTACTACCGCCTCTTCCCCTACCGCACTGCCCCGCTCCCCCCCCCGCCTCTCTTCCTCGCGCCAGGTGCTGCTGTGGTAGACCCCTTCCCCCCTCAGGGTGCTGCTCCCTCAGGTGTGTCCCAGGTAGACCCGGTTGAGCCTGTCGAGGTAGCTGTCGACTCTCGTCCTGCTAGGAGTGCTGAGCCTGAGCGTGCGGAGCCTGGGGGTGCTGAGTCTGGGGGTGCTGAGACTGGGGGTGCTGAGCCTGGGGGTGCGGAGCCTGCGGGTGCTGAGTCTGGGGGTGCTGAGCCTGGGCGTGCTACGTCTGAGGGTACTGAGCCTGAGGGTGCTGAGACTGAGCGTGCTACACCTGGAGGAGCCCTCTCCTCGCAGCAGCTGCGTGAGTGGTACTTACAGTACTGCAGCCTCAGGAGGGGTGCTTCTGGAGCTTGGAGTGTTGCTGGAGCTGGTGCTCGTGCTTCCCCTCCTAGGCGGGAGCTGCCCTCTCCTCAGCGGCTCCGAGAGTGGTACGCTCGGCGCTGCAGTCTCAGGAGTGGCGCTCCCGGTGTTGTGGACCCTGGTTCTGCTTCTACTGGAGGTGCCGCTGCTGCTGGAGGTGCTGTTGGTGCTGGAGCTGCTGGCGCTGGTGGAGGTGCTGCTGGTGCTGGTGCTGCTGGAGCTGCTGGAGGTGCTGCTGCTGCTGGCAGTGCTGCTGGCGCTGCTGGAGGTGCTGCTGGTGCTGCAGCTGCTGGAGCTGCTGGAGGTGCTGCTGCTGCTGGCGGTGCTGCTGGCGCTGCTGGAGGTGCTGCTGGTGCTGGAGCTGCTGGAGCTGCTGGAGGTGCTGCTGCTGCTGGCGGTGCTGCTG